GATATACAGTTATATCAACACGAGTGGAAATGGAGAAAACGAGAAATTGTGCGGAAACACGACGCCCGAAGGGCGGAGTGTTTTCACACAATTTCGAGTTTTCCCAATTTCCACGAGTGTTGATATAACTGTATATCAATATGGAAAAAATGTTTTATATTTGTTTTATAATATAGCACACAGAAATATAAAGAAAGACATTTTTCGACGTTTCCGTGTTGACATTGAGTTATATCAACACGACTCTTAGCCAATCAGCGTTCAGAATTTACAAATGCTATATTGTAACACATAATATTATCATTTTAAAGCTTATATGCTGAAAACAATGTTTTCTGTTTAATTTATAAGGTACGGAATAAATGTTGAAGATAGCCAAATCTTTACATGTACAGTATCAAAATTGAAAATGCTTGGTCTTATTAAACATTTTTATGAATATGCGGCAAGCACACTGCAACTACTAAATTCAACAAAATTGAATCTAAGTTTAGTTATTCGGGATAGCTTCATTTATTGTAGATGGCATTTCTCACAGTGGTCTAAAGTGGTCCATTGTAACTATGTACCGGACGAAACTTAAACTGGACTCAATTTATTTATACTAGAGGATACTAGTGTGTTTAGTTTAGATCTTGTAATTTGTCCTTACTCCTTAACACTGATATCATTCTTGCAAAATATACTTAATTCTTCGTTGTCAACATTCGTGATATCATTTTTTTTGAATTCCATCTGCATTAGTCAGTGATTAACCTGTTCCTCTTCGTGGTCCAGTGTAAGAAGACACTAAACTAGATTACTTCATTTAATTAATATATACTCAGTGGTAAGTTTCGATTTCGCCGCGAAACTGAAAGGCTTCTATGATTGGATGCCGGAAATATATATTTGTTTGGTATTTGAGGAAACATCACGTTCATTTTGTATTACTAGCTTTCGATATATAAGTCTGCATGGCTATTCACCAATGTATTAAATTCTTATAGCACCGACGATCTTGGGTCTTATAGCACCGACGATCTTCGCCAAAACCGAGACAAAGAAATGAACGTGTCCACAAAACAAAACAATTATATTTATTTTTACCATGCAAATCCACAAGGTCAAGGATCTTATTAATGACCTTTATGACAATGGTATCGAGATAACGAAATATCTTTAAAAAGCACAGTACATTAATTACTGAAAAAAATCCCCACAAAATGCTTGAAAACGTGACTATCTTTCTATCTCTAAATTACGACAAATAAAAATATTTCGAAACTCTTTAAATCGGCTGTATTTAGCTTTGGCGTAATTGCCTCAATGTTGGCGTAATTGCCTCTATACAATGTCTTGTCTTCTGTGTCATTTGCCCATGGGTATGGCCATGAAAACAGGCGAGTTTACTGCAATGGCAACGAAATTGAAGTCAGCGTTTTAGGCAGAAAGAGCATGTAAAACTGTAAAATAAGTTCACTGGACAACTTTTCTAGCTTATCTTTTTTCGTTCTCGACATATGTAAATTAAATAAATCTATGGCATTATGCAAGGGAGTAAAATATTAGTATAGTCTGGTGTATACTAGTATATAAGGTAGTATAGTTTCGTCAAAGGTTAAAAATGATGAAAGATTTCAGAGCATATACAGCTAATTCAAAAAAGGTTTTCCTTTGAAAAACCTTACACTCTAAACCTTAAACCTTATACTCTAAGCGTGCAAAGCATAACGGGAACAGTCATGCTTAATCTGTTTAGAAAGCAGTATGGAGCCCATTTCTTAGAGACATGGTAAATATCTCCTTACGAGAACAATTTATTTACAAATAGCTGCAATATTCAACTACTAAGCTTAAAACGTGTGCTCCCATTGAGCTTTACGCTCTTAGAGTTTTAAGGTTTAAGGTTACAGTTTAATTAAGGTTTTTCAAAGGACAGCCTTTTTCGAATTGGCTGCATATTGTTGATTCACCAACATTATGCAGGAAGTTATGCAGCAAGCATGAGCTCTTGGTTTATAAATTTGGGTTAGTTAAAATTTCCTCCTGTAGCTGGTAACACACTCGACGAGGAGAAGAGTTTAGAACTGACAATATACAGGCTAAAGTGTCATATAACTTCTGTACTTACGTAGTAAAAGGCTCAAGTATTTTTTTATAATAAAAGGCTGAAGTATTTTGTTTTTAATTTTCTTTATTGAGAGAAAGGGCGGCAAAACTTTCAATTCCTACAGACAGAATGTCTGTACTCCCCCACAAGCTTGCAATAATAGTTAATTATAGCTACAAACAAGATTCCAGAATAGGTATCATGCAGTCAGTAAATGTTTTTCAACGAAATCTGCCATCTTTGTCCTCTTGTCGACCGTTTTTACGGTATAAGAAAAATGAAGGTTACGGTTTTCACGAAGAAAATAAGGGCGATTAACGGTGAAAGAGACAAGGAAGGCATACGCATTCGACTTTTAGGAAGGCATACACATTCGACACACCTGGTGTGTATTTTATATTAAATTAAAGATGTAGAAGGCACCTAATTGAGATATTTTGCCCCAATTTGCTTGTCTATTAACCTACACCGCTTTTTCGTTGTAATACATTTTAAATACGAAAAAGTGCTTATGTGGAGTATGCGATTTGCCTCGGTTTTAGCTCATGCGCAGTGTATAGAGACTCTTTTCTAAGCGCTGGAGCACGTCGATGAAATTTAACAACATCACCTTCAGAAAAGGTACAACCCGAAAAATGTAAGGCTTTATTTAACAGTTGAAGATTTCCGTAGAATGAAAATTCGAGCAGAAGATTATATATAATTTTAGACGTAACAGGAGCTGCAGTTACGAAAATTGCAACCAGTATAGATCGCCTGGCAGAAATCGAACCTGCAGGCTGCGATTCCGGCTCTAACCAACTGAGTAACAGAGTTCAATTGTCGAGCTCTAACGACACGAAGTTCTTTTAATGTACTGGATGATGCCAGTACAAGGTACGGATAAAAATAACGAGACTTTAGGGCATCTTGTTCGATAGAACTAACAGTGGTAGAACTAACGCAGGATGAATTGGGCTATTGTTTAGGTATTTAGTTTAATTTAATTTTTTTCAGTAATTGTATTTTGCTTTTAAAGATATTTCATAGCATGATTGCAATAAATAAACCACAATAATACCCTTGACCTTGTAAGTTTGCACGTACGTACGTCATGTAAATGAATTGTCGCTTTGCTTATCTTCATCCACGCAGCGAGCCTTTCATATAAAAACAAATAGAATTCTTTGAAAAAGGTAATTACACAGACAACTGACGCGACTACACACAGAAAGAGAGTATCTGATGGATTATAGCTTTAATTTAGTTCCGCATAGCGATGCTATTTTCATTAATTACTATATATTCCATTTAAAGTAGTTTCTATTCACTCTGATAATTCATGTCAAAATCTTGTATCAGCATGCACTCCACGGTACGAAGTCTGTCTGTCATGTCTGTCCTAATTTACCGTTTCCATAGTATCCACAATAAAGGGTTGGGATAAAACGCGGAACCGGAATGCGGATTCCGTAAGCGGATTCCGGATGCGGATTCCGCATTTGAGGATAAAACGCGGATTCCGGATGCGGATTCCGCATTTGAGGATAAAACACGGATTCCGGATGCGGATTTTGCAAATGAGGATAAAACGCGGATTCCGCATTTGAGGATAAAACGGGGATTCCGTATTTGAGGATAAAACGTGGATTCCGGAAGCGGATTCCGCAAATGAGGATAAAACGCGGAATTGCGTAAAAAAGGACGAGAAGAAGAATAGCGTATAAAAAACTTAAATTATTACTTTTTAAGGTCACAACCACTAAAAAGCGATTGGCTAAAGTTACCTAGTTACCCTAGGCCTAACTGTTGAAGTCATACATGCATGCATTAGTGTTGGGAGGGGGGGGACTGTGATTTTTTGGACTATTTCTTAAAATTATGGAGGGAGGTGGAAAATCGTATTTATCAAGAGCGTCTTCATTTTTATCTAAGTTTCTTTGTTAATGCGAGTAATATTCGGGCTTTGATGGCGCAGGCGTCAGTAGTATAGGGAATGAGGGTTCTAGACCACTTTTTCGGCCCGCGATCTCACCCAACTTCCGGTTAGAGGTTTCCATATTTTTCCCTCAAAAACGCGGGCTCATATTTTTCTAGACCATTTTTCTATTATTTTTGGTATTATTTTTTCTATTATTTTTGGCGGGTTCTAGACCACTAATCGTTTTCGTCGCGGTCATCTCTTTTTTAATTTCAGCCTTAAATCAACAAGAATCCTGCAGTATTCTCGTCCAATTTTTCTAGACCATCTTCGAAGAACCCTCCAATCTTCTGTCTTCAAATCAACTTCCCGTCCAATCTCAAACCTTCTAGTTAACACTTTACTCAAAATCCAATTGCAATCAACTTGTCGCTTCCGGGGATTCTGATTGCCTGAACACCCAACGACTTCGCTTTCTCGCCCACCACCATTCTTAAGTATTTTCTTTCATCTTCTAGTAACACATCATAGTTTTTCCTTAGATGATTCTCATCAGTTACAACTATACACAACGGTACTAGTTTCTTAAACTTAGACCTCTTCAGTGGGATTACTACTTTATATTCTGGTCTAGGAATATGTTTCTCTTCCCGTGGTTCTAAGTCTTCCCAGCAAGCGCCTTCATAGAGTTCTACTGCTTCCTCGAGTCTACAGTATTCACTCTGAGTTTCAACCCTTTCTGGTATCCAGCTCGGTTCCACTTTTTCTTCGATCACCACCTCGGCCTTCATGTCACCTATTGAGAGATGTCCGTATGCGTAACTTGTAACACCATCTTCAAGTAAGTACCTTTTGTCATCGAAACAGCTAAGTGTGATTTTCTTCAGTTGGTAAGTTCCAATCTTATGCTTAATGCTTCGGATTGTGTTCATCTTAAGTCTCATTCGACCTTTAGTCTTAATCACGTTCTTGAAGTTTTCGTGAGTGAGTTTATTTCGAATCACATACTTTTTTACACCTTTAGCTGTCATTCCACCTCCGCCACTCTCCTTTACATAAGAGTACATCTTCGACCTTAGCCCCACGAATTCTATCACCGGTACTCCTTCAGCTTCATCCTTGAACTTCCCAATAACCTTCTTATTATGGGCTGAGTAATACGGAGAATCTTTTGGATAATCTGAATTATCCCAACAGTCCTTCTCCTTACCGATCCTCTTGAAGTCCTCATACACGTCATCAGTTTTGATCTCGTACATGAGACTATCCGTGTCTGTGAAAAGGAGCTTCGACTTGTTACCGTACTCCTTCTTGATTGTGTTGTAATGGAAGTCGTACATTAGAGTCTTGGACAAGTCCAGGATGCTCATCCCCACATAGCACGGTTTATTCAGAGTTAACACTTCCTTCAACCTTTTGACTACAATCAAACTCTCATTCATAATCCTATGTGACTGGAAGCACGGTGATGCTGTAAGTTTTAGGAGATCATTTTCCGACGACACCAGTTTCACATCAACCCTTTTCCTTAAGTTCTCCATAGTCTTTCCGTATATGGAATTATTCATGAGCTTGAAGAAGTTTTTCTCAAACGCATTCTTAGCGACTGATCGTTTTTGAGTATTGAAGTCAATATACTTTTTTAACCAAGTTGACTGCTTGAAGGAGACTGCTCTGTGAACCTTTATAAGTTTCATTCCGAGCTCCATGTAGAGTTTTAAATTCCTGACATGTAGAACGTAATTCTTCCTAGGACCCAGGGAGTTAACCAGTTTTCGCACACCTCCAATTGTCAGCTGGAACTTATCAGCAATATCCTTAGCATAGTCTGATAACATTGACACATCAATTTCCTTACTTTCTGGGGCTAGAGGGTATCCGTTATGTATATCATGAAGTTCTGCTGGATATTCCATATCAACCTCAAGAACCATGCCCCTTCCACTGTCTCCTAAGTAGTCATCAATATTTATTTTATCAACTTCCTCAATCCACTCAAATTCACCGTTAGGAAGAGGTTGAGACATCGCCCAGCCATATAAATTGTTGGCGTCGAGGTACATAAGGAACTTGTTTTCAGCCTCTTCGTCATAAGTTTCCATGTACTTATTATTTGCCGTAGAGTGTCTGTGAGCAATATGACTTACCCCACCTCTCATTCCCTTCTCAAAGAACTGGAACATATCCATATCGCTTACCAATTCTATTTCTTCTCCTGACTGCTTTAGGAATGCGTCCCAACTTAGACTTGGTGCTGAGATGTAGTGAGCAGGGTCAAGCTTGTAATTTTCCAAACAGGTCTTCCTGAAATTCTCAAAGACATCTGCCAGAAGAAGAACGTCAGTCTCCAGGTAGAGATCGTGGTAATCTCTCATTGTTTTCATCTTGAAGTAATCCCAGACTTTTAGAGCTCTCTGGTAATCTTCTTCTTTCACTTCAGATTCATATAGAGATGAGTAGAATTTGTCTCTGCTTGGAAGTTCCTTGGTGTCGAGTTTGCTGATATCATCCAGGTATTCATATGGAAATATACCTTTCTGTCTTACGAGATCGAAGTCCTCTCCTTGCCACCGCTGACCGACTATCTTGAAGTCTTCAGGTGAAAGATTACTCACAAGTGCTTCCAGAGATGAGGCCATGAACTGTATTGAATCAATGAACACTAGACTTTTACCTAACGAGAATGAAATGTACTTTTCCATGTTATTTGGAATCACGTTAATATTCATCTTGAACTTACCAATCTCCTGCATTATCAGATGGCTATCGTATCCTCTTAGATTATGGAAGACCACCGGAACTTTCCATGTGATTCTATATTTCAAGTTGCACATATTATGTGCAGCTCCGCGGAACAGTCCGGTTACATGATCGTGGTCTCTCACTCTGTCATCCCCCAAGTCATTGCCGCAGATGGAGCAGTTTCTTGTCATCCAAAACTCAGTTTCTTGTTCCGGTGTAATGACCATCTTCTTCTTAAAGATTTTGTTCACCATTTCCCGACACTTAATAGATTCCTTCAGAACTGTCTTCAGGAAGACCTCTGTAGCGTCTGCACCAACATAGCTCACATATTCACCAGAATACTGATCATCATACTGACACACTGTTTTTAACCCGAAACTACAAGCTTTGTGTGTCTGGTAAAGTTCTGTAGTACTTTTATCCTCAGCGTCTCCAGATTCAGCTTTTCTCTCCTCAGGAACCAGCATAGACTCAAAGTCAGCATAGATCACAAAGGGTGCAGGCATTGAATTCCTATAGTGCCCGAACTTTATTTTTGAACCTTCATTTGGAAGCTTTGTGGCCTGAGTCCCATTTACACTGATACACGTTTCACTATGTTTCTTTAATGATTCTTCGCTAACGCAACTATGGAAGCAATATAAACAGAAGTGTTTCTTGTTCGAGTTTCCGCTAACACTGAAGAGCATTCTATTTACATCCTTTATTAGGACGTAGTGATTACCACCGTTATTATCACCTAGCAGCAGCAGCTCCATATGTTCGTCGTATTTGGTCTTAGAGTTCCTGATTGGGTAGAACTGCTTTTTGCCCTTATAACCGAACACTGAAATACTTATAGAATTCTTTCTCGATCTCAATTTTATCAATATCACTTATCTTTACTGGGAAGTTTATACCTTTATAATCTAGGTTTTTCGCGAACTCCCTATCTTGCTTTGTTATAGTTGTTGCTCTCCTAGCTCTTGGTCTTACATGTCTCAGATGACTCCACATAAAACATTTCTCATCATCGTTTTGCATGTTAATTAGACCACATTTCGGATTGCAAATGTCTGCAGGTAATTTCATATATGAACTACTCTTCAGTGGCTTGTACATCGCGATATTAATGTAGTGACTTTCAATGTTCAGTATAATCCAATTTGAACCTAAGTTCTGAAAGGTTTCAATTTTAGACAAGATGGTAAGTTGATTCTGAGCGGCAGTGCTCTCAATGTCCTCAAAGTTTGTAGCAGTTCCTGTTTTTGATTTGAAGTATATTGAATCCTTTTTAGTTTTATCGTTTCCGATTTCCTTAGACATCCTTATTTTGATTGTTTCCGTGTATTTAAGACCTCCCATTCTCTTCATTTCGTTTACCAACACTCCTCTCACCACCTGCCTACTTGCTGTCATTTGGTTTAGTGGATCCATATAATTTGGAGTTATTGAGTAAGTCACAGCTGCTCCATTTGCGGCTGTTTCTATTTTCCTATAAGACGGCTTCTCAAGATATGTTCCAAATGGATCAATTTCGTGCTGCTCAGGTGCTACCACTACAGGCTGCTCCGCAACTTCCTTCATTACCTTCGCAGGCTTTCTTAACTTTGGAGGAGGAGCTGGCTTTTTAGTTCCAGGTTTGGAAACAGGTCTTTCCCTAGGAATAGTTCTAGGCTTAGGAACTGGTCTTTCCCTAGGAATTACAGTTCTTGGTTTAGGAACAGGTTTCCATGGAGCCACACCCTTCGGTACCTCAGGAGCTTTCCTTGTTGGTTTCTTACTAAGATCCACAGTCACCGTGAACTTATTCGGTCCCACCTGAGTTATAACACTATTCGCGGGAACTGAGAGTTTTATTCGGTTTTGACTTATAAACCTCTCCGCGACTGTTTGTCTTCTGACCTTAGGTTTTGGTGTTTCAGCTACCTTAACCTTTGGTGGTCTTCCACATCTCTTTGGAATCACAACCTCAGCGTCGGACTTAACCTTCGGTGGTCGTCCACGTCTCTTTGGAATCACAACCTCAGCGTCGGACTTAACCTTTTGTGGTCGTCCTCGGGGAGCCTTAACAACACCGTCAGCCTTAGCCTTTGGTGGTCTGCCTCTTGGAGCCTTAACAACACCGTCAGCCTTAGCCTTTGGTGGCCTGCCTCTAGGACGCTTTGGATTCCTAATGTTATGTAACCTCTTCATCTCCGCATTTACCTGAGGGTCGTCTGTTCTCCATCTTCCTCCCATTGTTGGTGGTAGACCTTCTACTCCTCTGCTGAGTAAGCTCTGGTATGCCTCTTCAACTAGTAAAGCCTTTGCCTTCTGTCGATCGGAGTATTTCCATGTTGGCATTATACCTCTCTCACCCTTCTCATTCAGTGGTCGTCTTCTCGGTCTCTTTGGGTCAGTAGAACCGGCACCTTCATCTATGAATTGACTTTTTCCTTCAAAGAGATCTTTGCCCTTATCCTTAGGTGCAACTCGGTAGAATTTGTCCTCAGATATTTTCTCCACTTCATCCTCAAAACTTTCCTCATAATCGCTATCGTCAATTATCTCACTAAGCGCCATAAGTTGTTCAACGGTCATGTCGTTCATGTCAAAGTTTGTCGCCATTTTTCACTCTCTCTCTATATACTATAGGTAAAAAAAAATAGACCTATTTTAAGGCCTATTTAATTTTGTATTTAATTATTTATTTTTATTTAATTTAATATTTTATTTAATTTAATATTTTATTTAATTTAATATTTTATTTAATTTTATAATTAATATTTTATTTAATATTTTATTTATGTCTAAATTTCCAGTTATTATAATATTTACAATTTATGGGTTTCCATCCCAACTCGGGAAAAACCTTTCCATATAGTCTGTCCTCAAGGATGTTTACAATTCGTTGAGTCTTGATGTCCTCAGGTGGGTTTCTTAACATGATGTTGTTCATGCTGGCTAACCTTAATAGGTAAAACTTATATCTAACTATGTTGCGCCCCCGTTGCAGTCTAAGTCTTTGTATACATCTTACGATGCTTCTAAACTGCTCCCGTATGGTGTCCCTATCCCCAGAAGCAACATGCTCGAATAAGTGTCTCTCAAACCAACGGACTCTATTATGGGACGATTTCTTTTTCAAGTAGTCGTCCTTGTTGTGATTGTAACTAACGTAGTATGTGAAGTTGTTCATAGCACTAGTTCCGCAGTGTGTGCATGTATCTGCTCCGTCTATTACCACAATTGACTTACTACCACATTCACTACATGCTGGATCGTATGTGCGTTTGACCTTCATTTTATTTCTTACGTATTTCATTACTGCAGCCTCTAACTCCTCAATAGTGTTTGCGTTCTTACCGACTCGTTCCATTTCATCAGGTGTTACCAGTGTCAGCCAGTCCATCCCCTATACTATATGTGTTAAAATTTTCTGCTTGTTTTTGTGGTTTGTTTTTACGCCTCCTTATTATTCTCCATTCCACATATTTTTTAACTGCGGCCTCCAGTTCTTCTATGGTGTCCACCCTTTTACCAAGAGCTACCACTTCGTCAACGTCTACCATTGCAAGCCAATCCATTTCTCTATATTATATAGGTAAAAGAAAATTACCGTATTTTATAAAATTAAATAAGCTGCCCCTCCAACCACCCCACCTATAATTAAACCAAAGATTGCCATATATTCTTCCATCTCGGAGTTAGGTTTGTAGTGATTGCTTAACTGCGGTCTCCTTGGCATAGCCTTACGTGTTAACTCATTGATCCTTCTAACGAGTTCCAGTGATTTGTTTGTTGCATTGATATCTCTATTTGCCTCAA